ATATATATATATATATATATATATACGTACATATCAAAGATAAATTTAATAAAATTATATATATAAAAAATAATAGATTTTATTTCAATTCTAAGAAGAACGAAGAAGAAGAAAATAAGATCTATCTACGAGTAAACGAGAAAATATTATTTCACGATTTAATTGGATTGTTGAAATTTTGCAACTCGTGAAAACAATTCCATCAATTGATAACCATTTCTAAATCCGACAATTGCCATATATGCATAATATGCATAACAATAATTCTTCGAATAATATCAATCACATTTCGCGGAACGAACAACAGATCAAATACAGCGAATTAGAATAGGTTAAAAAAAATATTTTGCCATACGCGGAAATTTAACTCGTGTTTCGTATTGAAAAATAGATACTGCGTAATCTTTTAGAAAACTTTACAACTTATTTATAATGTTGGAATATAATCGCTATTTCTTTCTATTACCAGTCATCATTATCTCGTTAAAATTTTTATTAAGATATTACTATTCAACGCAAATTATCGTTTTAATGAATTTTTCATCGATTTCTATCTCGAAGATTTGCCAAGATTTTACTACTCAAGTTCCATGTGCTAAGTAATTAAAATTTCCTAAGAGAAAACTCTTCTCATATCCGTTAAATTATTATTTTTTTTTTAAATAAATTAATCGTGATAAGAGAATAATCGTTGAAATAAAAAATTTTCTTAATTATAAGCTTCATAAATTTCCATTGTAGCCGAGTTATTGAATCGCGTCATAAGTACTATAGTAGCGTGAAATATAATGTACGTATATTTCTATTAAGATGGATAAAATGTAACTATTAATAAATACTAGAGACAATTGATTTTTTTTTAAATTATTATCATCCGCTATAACGATTCGTAGCGATACGATAACTAAATGCGTATGTAAGTATATATCACTGCCTAAATCATCGACGAATAAGCTTTTTTCCAAATTTTTCTTATCAAATATATACTATTAAATAATATTTTTCAATTATATATCAAGATCTTTTTATTATTTCATAATTAAAGAGAAACAAAGAAATCAAAGATTAGAAAGTAGAAACTAAAATTAAAGAAATAAATTTGTAAGAACGAATAATATTAATTAAGAAGATAAGAATATTATCATATTATTATTATCACAATCCATCTTCGTCGTTTTTCGCAACATTACGTTTATCGAAAAATTTTCATTTATATAATGCAAGTATTTGCGATCGCGTAATTCTTAAAAGATGATATAAAGAACAAGAAATACTATGGAACTCGAATAACTAGGCTGCATCCGACATTTTATACTGGATTTCCTGCGATTATCTCCTTAAAAGGATAGCCGTGAGAGACGAAAGAAATTATTGCACGGAGAGGAGAATGACCGTAACACTGAACTAATTATAAGAATGCTTAACCCTGCTGCACTGTGCAAACGCGTGACGTAATGAATTTGCTATCACGCTACATCTTTGTATCCATGTCTCGACATGGATCATCAATTTTTACCGAGAGATAAAATCGCTCGTAAATGCGATGCATTTGTTTAATACTCGTTGCATACGACGTGGATGTACACCGAGAGGGAAATTTACGTGGAATGTGTAGGTAAGATTGTTGTATTCTTTCTCTCGAGAATTTTTTTGAACGAGAAATATACCATCGCAATTCTAAAGAGTAGGTAGTAAAATTCCTTGGTTCGAATAATACGAAAAAAAAGACCAATATTGTTAAAATACAATCCGATACAATTTAAGATGTAATTTATTTACCAATGTGTCAAGTTTTTCATAAATATATCCGCATTTAGCGATAAGATAGAAAAAGAGAAATTGAAAAAAATGAGGATGAAATTGAACGAAGATTATACGAATTGTGAAATTTTATGTTATTACTTACAATATATATACATATGATGTAATTTTAATTAAAAACAAAAAATATCTGCCCTTACTTTTCAGGTATATTTGCGGTACAAACGCATAATATCAATTTTGATGAAACAGCTGCGAGCCGGCCTAGAATTGGTCGGCAAAATAATGGCATAAAGCGATATGCGTGTCCCATAGGATTCTTTCGATTGAAGAGATATTGTTATTATTTAAGCGGCGGGACAGCACCCTGGAGAGAGGCCTATTTTCACTGCAAAGATAGAAATGCCACTCTGGCTATTCTCGATAGAAATGGGAAGGATCGAATGTTAAGAAAATATTTGTGGAACGATCAATTTAGTAAGTGAAATTTGAATATTTACGATTAAAAAAAATTAATAATTATATTTTTAAATGAATATGATAAAAATCTACTATTTATTTATAGTAAAATCGCTTTTAAAATATTTGATAAATTAGATAAAATTGCGATATATTCCATACAAAAATTATGGATATATTATTTACGCTTTCATACTTCTAATTATAATTATATAATATTATAATGTTTACAAATTACTATTTATAAATTTTCATAATAATAAATTAGAATTAATTACTTTAAAATTTAAATAAATATCTAAAATGATTAAAATATTATATCATAGCAAAATTAGAAAGATGGATCGGTGGAATATACAATTGGCAACAAATGACTTGGGAATGGGGTATGACTGGAGAAAAAGTACATTTTCAAAATTTTGGTCTACCTGAATTTAATCGATCGAAACAATACGCGTGGCACTGTATCACGATCGATCCCACGTTAAAGTATAAATGGAGACCACAAAGTTGCGTCGAACGAAAACATTACGTATGCGAGGTACTGGCTGGACGTATAGGTAAAATTTCCAAAAAAAATTGTACATTTAAAAGATTGGCATATCATTTAAAATAATTACGTTTTCCATGTATATATCAAAATAAAAGAAGATAATTCGCTTGATATTTCGATAACGAAATGAATATAATTTATGAATGTGCTCTGTTTAAATTATAGTCAGAAGACGTAAAAAAACGGCGAATTCTCGTGCATTGCAAAATCAAAAATCCCGAAAGAAAGGTAAAAAATATTTAAATGAATCGCACAAGTCAAATGGACGGAACAAACAGCGAAATGCATGGAAAAAAAGAAATTATGTAGAGCAAAATGCAGACGATTGGGCACATGGTGTGAAATTGGGTTCAAGGCCACCATTTTAGTAAGATATCATGTTATATTATTATTATTATTATAAAAAAATTTTCTCGGCAATATATAACCATATGTGAAAGATAAATGATTCTTATTAACGAATTGCTTATAAATACTAAATAATAATAATAATAACAATATATTAAAAATATTATTAAGAAAAAAGGAAAATTTTCTCAAAAATTATTATAAATTTCTAAATAAATAAAAAATTCTTATAGTATGCATCATAGTATTTTTATAAAAATTTTGTACAAAGTTGAATAAAAATCAAAATAACTTGATCGTAATATATATGATAATGATGATGATAATGATGGTGATTGATGATAATGATAATAATAATAACGATTAAAAAATCGTTATATTTTAAATAAAAATATTTTATATTTTATATCATTTTATCATCATCAAAACAATTTTAACAACAATTTTTATAGGAATTTTTACTTTAATTATGAAAGTATGAAAATTATAATTACAGCAATGAAAAAATGTATGATTCGAATCCACGAATGCGGCATCATTCGAATAAAACTGGACTGATAATGGCACAAATTCAAGAAAAAGAATACAATGCATTTCTAGCCGATGGATCCAATAACGATCCGCAAAGTCTAACGGATAGAAATAGAATTTTTCCTCAAATCTCTGGAATCAACTTGGCGAGTGAAGAAGTTCTAAAAGGTTTTTAAAGCCATAAGCAAAACATTGTATATTATTAATCCCTTTATAGGACTTTAAACATCATTGATCATTGATCATTGATCATTATTATTTCAAAAAATCTTCCAAATTGATATAATATTTACCGAATAATAGATTTATCAAATAATGAATCGAATAAAATTAATCAAATTAATTCTAGTTTTCATTTTAACTTTGTGAAAGATGAAAATCATTTAGATTCTATTAAAGATTGTTGAGCACAGACTGAAATAATTTATTCACAGATTAGATTTGGAGAAATAGTCTCTCATGTTCCTCTCTTTTAATAAATGTAAGATTTTTGAAAATGTATGTAAGTACTTCTGTCTAATTAATTAGTTAATTAAAGTAATTTCGAAACGATAAAATAATAGTTCGATGTATCACGTATATACTATACAATTAATATTCCTTCCCATTTTAATTGCATCTATTTCTTCATTTAATTAATATATGAAATGCGGATTGACTATTTGCGAATTCTATTTTTTAATGTTAATTTTCGCTCATTGCTTCGCTCATTGATATTATATATAGCATTCAAATATTATTTAAATATATAAGAAAAGATAATAAAATTCGAAAGTAAGAATATATTTAAATGCATCTGTATTTTTTAAATTTTTTTGTAAAAAAAAAATAATTATTCATAAAAAAGTAATTTTTCTCACTTTTTTTACCTTATTTTTGAATGATAAAAATTTAGTTTTAAAGAAATAATTATTAATATAATATATTTTGAATGAATGTCTGTTTTATTTTAAAACAAAGAAATATTTTTGAAATAATAAATATTTTTTCGCATCAAATAAATATTTGATCAAATTAAATTCAAACTATTTAAATAATGATAATTACTTGTTAACCGCTACTTAAATTTTAAGAATACACGTTATTACAATGAAAAATGATTATTTTGACTTATTATATATTATATATCGATATATTATATATCGATACAATTACATGTACAAAAAAGATAAAAAAAAATATATATAATTGATTTATCTATACATTGTGTTATTTAATATTGTGTTATTAATATTTAATAATTTAATAAAAATATTTAACATTAATAAAAATATTCATATAAATTTCCTAAGATTTTTATTTTTTATATTTTAACTTAATAATATTAATATTATTAGAAGTAAATATAACTTATACAGTAAAATAAAACTTTTTTATCATTAGAATGTTTCAAAATTTAAATTGATAAAATTAATTAGCTAAATTATAATTAGCTAATTATATATTTCAAAGATATTTTATTTATATTTATATGCATTGTTTTTTCATTTACATATCAATCTACTTATATGTGTGTATGTGTGTGTGTGTGTGTATGTGTGTGTATATATATATTTGCATGTATATCTATACACGGATGTATATGTAATACTATGTGTTTTAAAATTGTAAATTATATTTATTATTATATTGTATAATGTAAACGTACGACTTATTCGTGATAAATTATCGATAAATCATTATGTAACATATTCTTCGCAAAATATAATAATATTATTGAAATTTTTCATCATGTATTTATATGATGTATATTATATCAATAAAAATTGCATGTCAAATGATATTATAACTCGTTTCAATGATAATAATTGTACTGGCTAATTTTTAAAAAAAATTTATATTCTTTCGTAATATTCAACGTATATATATTTTGAATTACAAAATTTTACGAATTTATTATTGATATAAAAATTTTTACAAGTATCAAAAGCTTTCCGAAAGTTAAGTAATTTATATCAATTCTTACTAGATATGGTAATAATGTTTCGCGCATGACTAGATGTCATTTCAATGTACTTATGTTATCACTATTTTTTCTGAACGTAAACAAGATTAAATTAAAAAGAATGCTAATACACAACGGTATGATGAAAATATGAAAATATCAGAAATGAGATGCTCGAGAATGCGCTTTTATTCTCGAAAGATAATTATCAAGGATAAAAAAAGTACGCAGGAAGTACGCGAGAATACGAAAATTCGATACCCGGATTCGAAAATTTTTGAATTTCATATTTCATATTTCATAATTCGAATCTAATATAACTTACACATATTTGCAAACGATTTATATAAATATTATAAATAATTACTTACCTTTATATAGATACAGAGAGCGTCACCCTTTGGTTGTCCATTCGAATCTTTGTATAATTTGATCTTGTCTTTTCCTTTTTCGTCTCGCGCTATAAGACCACACTTGTTGAAAAGCTCGGTAAGTTCATCCATAGTAATATCTAATGGTAGACCGGACACATAAATAGCAGTATTATGGGCTTCGTCCACTTCGAACCAGGTCGGTGGTTCCTGTGATTTTCTTTTGGCTTCCATCTTCTTTTTCTCTTTATCGACCTTTCCTTGTGATTGAGATTGTTGCACAGGTTTTGTTTCTATGCGATTTGCATCTGTAAATCCGTAACTCATTTGATATCTTGCCATGAAATCTTCATCCACCTGAAAAATAAAAAAGTAATCATTATTTTTATGATAATATATATGGAACATATTTTAATAATAACTCATTCAGGAATGTGAATAATAAAATATTTGTAAAAAAAAATT